TTCTCACAAAAAAAGCTTGAAAGTGTGTGTGTGGGGGGGGGGGTGAGAGAGAGAGAGAGAGTGCAAGAGGGATAAATTGAGAGGGGAAAAAGGGAGAGGGAGAGAGCCCTAAAAGAACCCAGGGGATACAGAGAGTAAGATACCTAGGAAGTGAGAAAGTGAGAGCAATGAATCTAGGAAGAATCTACAAGAGAACAGGAGACCTAGAGAGAGCCAGTGTGAGACCAAGAGAGATCAAGAGAGATGGATCAAGAGAGTGAAATGGCAGGAGAATAACAGTTTGTGAGTAATATTGAGAGATTGAGTAAGAGCCAGAGAACATGAGAGTGAGAGAGGTGGAACAAAATCCAGAGGACAGGAAAGAAAAGGGAGAAATCAGACAAGAGGAAAAATTCCAGCAAGAAAGATAGAGCCAGCTTGAGATAGGGAGTGAAAGAGCATGAGAGTGAGATTTGAAAAAGTGTAAGAGAGTATGAGTGAAAGTACAGAGAGCAAGAGAAGCAGGGAACTAGAGAGCCAGAAAGATTGAGAGAGGTCTGAGGAGACTGAGACAGAGGCAGCAATGTGAGAGAACAAAGGGGAGTGAAAGAGAGAAAGAAAGAGTAAGAAACAGTGAAAGCTAGAATGAGAAAGTGAAGATGAGAGCAAAAGTGAGTCCCAGATAGTGAGGGAACATAAACTGAAGAGCACGAGCATGGGAGAGTGTGTGTGCAAGGAAAATGTAAGAGATACTAAGAGAGTTTAAAAAGTGCAAGCCTGAGAGTGAGAGAAAGAGAGAGAAAGCTCAGGGGAGTGAAATGGAGAGAAAATGAGCAAGAGGGCAGGGAGAGAGGGAAAGCCACAGGGAGTTAGGGAGAAAGTGAGAAACTGAATTATTGATTTAAAAAGTCAGAGTGAGCAGAAGTGAGAGAGTGAGGTCAGAGAGAGTGAGAGCGAGCGAGCGAGAGAGAGAGAGAGAGAAAGAGTACCAGAGAAATAGGGAGACTCGTGGAGGGTGAGAACAAGAGATACTGCAACAGTGAGAGTGAGAGATTAGGAACCTGAGGTGACAGTGGGAGAGTGAGAACAAGAGGGAACAAGAGGAAGTGAGGGTAAGAATAAGAGTGAGTGAGTGAGAATGTGAGAGAGTGAAGAAGATGGAAAGAGCAAGTGAGAGGGCAAGTAAGACATGTGAGAGAAGGCGTGGGAAAGTGGGATAGCAAGAGTGAGTCCAAGAGAATTTGTGAGAGAGCAAGTGAGTCAGAATGAGAGCAAGCATGAGAAAAAGAACATAAGTGAGAGTTAGACTGAGGAGACTGAGTCAGAGTGAGCAAAAGAAAGAGCAAGAGATTGAGCCTGAGTGAGAGTGTAAGAAAGTGAGTGAGAATAAGTTAGAGCAAGAGAGAGTCATAGAACAAAAGAGATGAAGAAGGTTTAAGCATGGGAGAGGGGGGCAGAGCAAAAAAGAGAGAGGAAGAATGAGACTAAGAGAATGCCTGAGAGCAAGATGGAGGGAACAAGAGGGAGAACAACCTGAGAGGAAAAACCAGAGGGAGTTAGGGTTGAGAGAAAATGAGACTTAATGAGAATGAGAGAGTAGGGAGCAAGAATACATGCAAAAATGTGGGAGCACAAGTGATAGAGGAAGATTGAAAGAGAAAGAGAGAGATAGAGGGAGCCAGAGAGACAGAATCTAGAGAGGAAGTGAAAGAGAGTGTGTATATGAAAGATTTCATTTCATTCCAGTGGTTAAATGAGAGCAAGAGAGAGCCCTGTGAGAATGAGCAATATAGTGAGAAAAGAGAACAAGCACAAGAGAACAAGAGTCAGAGATCAAGAGAGAAAATCAGAGAGCAAAATTGTAAGAGTCTGAGTGAGAGAGCAAGAGATTAAGTGAACAAGATTAAGTGAGAGTAAAACAAGTGAGAGTGAATACAAGGAGTGAGAGACTGTAGCTGAGCACGAGAGTAAAAGAAAGTGAATGCAGAGGATAGCTGAAAAACAAGAGAAAGCACAAAAGCAAGAAAGTGACAATGAGTTCAAGAGAGTGAATGAAACAGACACTTAATAAGCAGCACTAAGTGAGCAACTGAGGGAGTGCACTCTAGGGAGAGTAGAGAGAAAACAAGCGAATGGGAATGTTCAAGTGAACCAGAATGAGAGAAAGAGAACCAGAGAGATGGAGATTTAGATGATAGGGAACAAGAGGATATAAATGAGCTAGAGAGTGATTAGACATGAGGGAAAAAAGGAGAGACAGAGGGAGACCCAGAGGGAGATAGGAAAAGAGTGAGAGGGTGACTGTGGAGAATGTGGAGCCGGAAAGGTAGTACAGTGAGGAGGGCTCTTGTCTTGCAGGCAGGTGGCCCCGTTTGATCCCTGGCAGATCATATGGTCCTCAGGAGAGCGAGAGAGTGAAACGAGTGCAAGAGTGAACAAGAAAATATGGAGAAGAGAGGCGGTGAGTGAGAAAGCATGAAGGGAGTCAAGAGAGATCAAAATATACATAACAGAGGAAAGCTAGAGAGGGAGTCTGTGATAATGAGCAAGAGATATAGAGGAAGAAAGTCAGAGCACAAGAGAATTAGAGAGTGAAAGAATAAGAGTGTAAGTAAGAGCAAGAAAGTGTAAGTGGAAAAGAGTGATAGAGCAAGAGAGCACCTGAGTGTGATAGCAAGAAGAGCATGATGAAGAAGCAGAGAGAGCAAGCAAGGGGGAGAGCCAGAGGACATTAGAGTGAGAAAGAGAGTGAGAGTGAGTGTGTGCATGAAGAAGTTCGAAAGCAGAGCGTGAATGAAAGTGAGAGCACAAGAGTGTGAACCCCAGAGGGATCACCAGAGAGTGTAAAACTCAAAGAGCCAGAGAGAGATAAGCAGGCATTGGGGCCACCGAGTAAAAGAGTGAGTGAAAGAGCGACTCAAAGCAAGAGAGCAAGTAAGAAAGGTACTGCAAGTGAGAGAACAGGGGTCTGAGTGAGAGAGCAAGAAAGAATGAAAGTGAGAGAGTAGATAAGGAGAAAGTGAGAGATACAAGAACAAAGGAAAGAGAAATCTAGAGAAGCAGGATGAAAGGTAAGGGCAAATATAAAAGAAAGTAGAAGAGATAGTAAGACAGCTAGAGAGTAAGAACAACTGCGTAAAAAAAGGAGGTGAGAGAAAATTGAGAGAACAAGAGGGAGAGGGAGAAAGAATGGGAGAGAATGCCGAACAAGAACAAGAGAATGCCAGAGAAAATGAGAGTGAAAAAAGTACAGGAGAGAGCAAGAAAAGGTGAGAAGATGAAGAAGGTAGCAAGAGTGTCAAGCAAGAGTACTAGAGATCAAATGAGAGAGTAAAAGAAAATAAAAGAGTTAGAGTGAGTGATAGGGAGAGAACAAGAGAGCAAGAGACTCAGAGAGCAAGAGAGAGCCAGTTAGAGATAGAGGGAGAATGAGTGAGAGTGAAAAAGTGAGTGCAAGAGTGAAAGTGGTAGTGAGTAATGAGAGGGGAGAGCAAGAGACTGAGTGATAGCATGGGAGCAAGCAGCATGAGAGAATGAGAGACTAAGAGCAAAAGAGATAATAAGAGACCAAGGAAAAAAATAAAGGGCAAAGGATGTCTAGCAAGCAAGAAAGTGAATGAGAGGGGGGAGATTGAGAGTGAGAGATTAGAAGAGCAAGAAAGACAGTGATGAAAGAGAGAAAGAGGGAGTGATGAGAAAGCATGTAACAGCAAGAGTGAAACAGAGAAAGCATGAATAGTGAGAGAGGGAGAGAGCCAGAGAGCCAGAGAATGAGTGACAGAGCAAAGGAGAGCAAGAGTGAAGAAGTGAGAGCAAAGAGAGTGAGAGCAAGAGAACAAGAGCAAGGGAGACAGTGAGGGTGAGTGAGCTATCAAGCTACAAAGAAAGAGAGAGAGAGAGAGAGCGCCAAGGGACAGAGTGAGAAGAGAGCAAAGAAATATTAAAATAGCCAAGAGGACCATGAGAGAGTTCAGAGGCGTGAGTGCAAGCAAGAACATAACAATGAGTGAGAGAGGTGGAGTAGAGAGTGTGGTAATAATAGAAAATGAGAGAGTAATTGAGCATGACAGAAATGAAGAGTCAAAGACAGTGAGAACATGAGAACACAAGAAAGCATGAGTGAGGGAGAGTGGGTAATAGAGCAAGAGTGCAAATGAGAATGGGTAAACGAGAAAGCTTAGGAGAGCAAAGAGTGAAAGAACAGAGCAAGAGAGAGTGAAAACGAACCAGAAAGAGAGAGGGCATGAGAGAAAAACTGCAAGAAAGCAAGGGAGAGAGGGACATGGAAAGAAAGACCAATGGAGAGAGTGAGTTTGCAACAGAGAATGAGACAGAGCAAGGAATTTTAAGTGAGAGGATGCAAGAGAGAATGCAAGGGAGCCTGAGGAAAAAAAAGAGTGAGATGAAATTGGGGGGGATGAGAATAAGCAAGAGTGAGAGCAACAAGAGCAAAGAGAGACCTAAAGTGGGTGAGACAAACAAGAAAAGATAACAGGAGTGAACAAGAATATAGAGAAAGAGTGAGAGAGCAGGAGTTAGCTAGGGAACAAGAGGTGAGAAAAAGATGAGATTAGAGAGACCGAGGGAGGTAACAAGAAAGAGAAAGAGAGCTAGAGTAAAAGAAAGCAAGAGAGAGCCATAAATGGAGAGTCAGAAGGAGATAGGAATAAATAGAGCAATAATGAGAGTGATTCAGAATGGGAGCATTGGAGAATGAGCATGAGTTTGTTAAGCTGCATGAGAAAATGTGAGAGGGTATGAAAGCAAAAGTGAGAGAACAAGTATTAAATTGAGACTGAGAGATGAAATGACAATGAGAGGGATTGAGTGGGAAAGCAAGAGATATTACTAGAGTGAGAGAATGTGTATATGTGTTCATTTGAGGCAGTGAGCTAGTAGATAGGGAAATCCAGTCAGGAAGACACATTAAAAGAGATGCACATTGTAAGTCTGGGTAAAAGACTCCATCGTGCAATACAGAGGATCAATTCTAACTTGTGTTCTTTTGCTTTCTCCCCAAGGGATTTTTTTGCAAAGAAGAAAAAGACTTTGATAGCTGGTGTAGCCTCGTTCAAAAGGTACATTTGTTTTTATTATTCCTAAAAAGAAAGTTATTTAATGTTATTACTTTCAAGATTCAATTGCATAATATAAATCTGCTCTGATATGACATTACCGCAAAGGAAGAATCTATGGCAGATTATGTATGACTTTTGTGTGAAGTTTACTGAGTATGTCAGGTAAGCAATATTTTAATTTATTTAATTCCTTTCAATTTTTAATTGAATTACTGTGAGATACACAATTACAAAGGTGTTCATGACTAGGTTTCAGTCTTTTAGTCATACCTATCCCATCACCAGTGTACATTTCCCACCACCAATGTACTCAGTTTTCCTTATGTCCCCCCTACTCCCACCCTGAGTGATAGCACAGTGGTAGGGCGTTCGCCTTAAAAGCGGCCAACATGGCTGACCTGAGTTCGATTCCTCCACCCCTCTCAGAGAGCCCGGCAAGCTACCGAGAGTATTTGATATGCCAAACACAGTAACAACAAAGTCTCCAATGGAGACGTTACTGGGCCCACTCGAGCAAATCGACGATCAACGGGAGGGCCTTTACCTTTACCTTTACTCCCACCCTGAATCTATGGCAGGCACTGTTCTTCTTTCTCTCTTTCTTTTTGGTCATTATGGTTTGCAATACTGGTGCTGAAAGATTATCATGTTTGTCCCTTTACCTTTCAAAACTCAGTGCTTATTCGAAGTGATAATTTCCAACTATCATTGTCATAGTGATCCCTTCTCTATCCTAGCTGCCCTATCCCACCACCGCTTGTGGTAAGCTTCCAACCATGGATATTCTTCCTGGCCCTTTTTTCTAATGCCCTTGTGTATTAGTCTCATACCATGTTTTTTGTATACCACAATGGGTCCAATCATTCTATGTCTGTCTCCCTCCCTCTGACTAATTTCATTTAGCATAATACTCTCATGTTCATCCATTTATAGAATAATTTCATTACTTCATATTTCCTAGTGGCTGTGTAGTATTCCATTGTGTATATGTACCATAGTTTCTTTACTTAGTTGTCTGTTCTCGGGCACTCGGGTTATTTCCAGATGCTGCCTATTGTGAATAGTGCTGCAATTAAAATAGACGTGTAGATGGCTATTCTGCAGTGTGCTTTTGGGCCCCCGGGGTATATTCCCTGAAGTAGAATTTCTGGGCCATATGGAAGTTCAATTTCTAGCTTTTTTAGGAGTTCCCATATTGTTTTCCAAAAAGCCTGGGCCAGTTGGTATTCCCACCAACAATGAAGGAGAGTCCCTTTCTTCCCACATCCACGCCAGCACTGGTTGCTCTTGTTCTTTTGGATGTGTGCCAGTCTCTGTGGAATGAGATGATATCTCATAGTTGTTTTTATTTGCATCTCTCTGATGATTAGTGTCTTTTGCCCTTGTGCTTCTTCTTTTAGGAAGTTTATGTGCCTTTCTTCTCATTTTTTATGGAGTTGGTTGTTTTATTCTTGTTAAGTCCTACCAGTGCCCTTTATATCTTGAATATTAACCCTTTATCAAATGGGTATTGGGTAAATGTTTCCCATTCCATGGGCTATCTTTGTATATTCGTCACCATTTCTTTGAAGTGAATAAGCTTCTTAGTTTAATGTAGTCCCAATTGTTTATCTTTGCTTCTACTTGCTTAGTCAGTGGTGTTTCATCTTTGAAGACACCTTTACATTCGATGTAATGTAGTGTTCTGCCCACATTTTCCTCCTTGTTCTTTATGGAATCAGGTCTGATATTGAGATCTTTTATTCATTTTGACCTGACTTTTGTGCCTGACTTAGAAAGAGATCTAAGTTCCTTTTTTTGCATGTAGCTGCCCAGTTTTCTTGGCACCACTTGTTTAAGAAGATTTCCTTGCTCCACATAAAATTTATTGTTCCTTTATCAAAAATTAGATGATCATATATTTGGGGGTTGGTGTCAAGATATTCAACTCCGTTTCTTTAATATGTGGATCTGTCTTTTTTTCCAATATCATGCTGTTTTAATTACTACTGCTTTGTAGTACAATTTGAAGTTGGGGAAGGTGATGCCTCCCATCTACTTTTTCCCAAGTATTTATTATTATTATTATTATTATTATTATTATTATTATTATTATTATTGCTTTTTGGCTACACCTAGCGATGCTCAGGGGTTACATCTGGCTCTGCACTCAGGATTTACTCCTAATGGTGGGCCATATGGGATGCTAGAGATTGAACCTGGATTACCCACTGTACTATCACTCCAGCCCCCTAAGGATTGTTTTCACTATTCATGAGGTTATTGTTCCATACAAATTTCAGGAGTGATTGATTTAGACCTTTGAAAAATTGCATGGGTATCCTTATAGAGAGCACATTGAATCTGTATAATGCTCTGGGGAGTTATGCCATTTTGACGAAGTTAATCATCCCAATCCATAAGTAAGTAGTGTGTTTCCATTTCCTCATGTCCTCTTTGATTTATTAAAGAAGTGTTTTGTAGTTTTATTTATATAAGTGTTTCACCTATTTAGTTAAGCTGATTTCCAGGTACCTGATTTTCTAAGGCACAATTGTGAACAGGATTGTTTTCCTAGTGTCTCTTGCTTCTCTTTCATTATTTGTGTATAGTAAAGCCATGTACTTTTGGGTACTGAATTTGAAACCTGCCACTTTACTATATAAATTTATTGTTTCTAGGAGGTGTTTTCCAGATTCTTTTTTTTTTATTAGTGAAGCACCATGAGGTACAGTTGTAGATTTACAAATCCTTGTGCCTGAGTTTCGGTCATACAATGATCAAATACCCATCCCTCCACCAGTGCCCATTTCCCCCCACCCCCCCTCCCACCCTGCCTCTGTGGCAGGGCATTCCCCTTTGTTCTCTCTCTCCTTTTGGGTGTTGTGGTCTGCAAAAGAGGCATTGAGTGGCAATCATGTTCAGTCCATAGTCTACTTTCAACATGCATTTCCCCTCCTGGGAGGATCCTCCAAGCACCTTTCATTTGGTGTTCCCTTCTCTATCTGAACTGCCCTTTCCCCTAGAATATCCGGCTGGCCTCTAAGTTATGGAGTAATCCTCCTGGTGTTGATCTCAGCTATTCTTAGGTATTGATCTCATATTTTGTTGCTTTATATCCCCCAGATGAATGCAATTTTTCTATGTCTATCCCTCTCTTTCTGACTCATTTCGCTTAGCATGATACTTTCCATATTGTACCACTTGTATGTAAATTTCATGACTTCATCTTTTCTAACAGCTACATAGTACTCCATTGTGTAGATGTACCAGAGTTTCTTTAACCAGTCATCTGTTCTTGGGCACTCAGGTTTCTTCCAGTTTCTGGCTATTGTAAAGAGTGCTGCAATGAACAAACAAGTGCAGATGTCACTTCGACTACACATTTTTGCCTCTCTGGGGTATATTCCCAGGAGTGGTATCGCTGGGTCAAATGGGAGCTCAATTTCTAATTTTTTGAGAAACGTCCATACTGTTTTCCAAAAGGGCTGAACCAGTCGGCATTCCCACCAACAGTGAAAGAGTGTCCCTTTCTCGCCACATCCGCGCCAGCATCGGTTGCTTTTGTTCTTTTGAATGTGGGCCAGTCTCTGAGGTGTGAGATGGTATCTCATTGTGGTTTTGATCTGCATCTCCCTGATGATTAATGGTGTAGAGCATTTTCTCATGTGCTTTTTTGCCATTCGGATTTCTTCTTTGAGAAAGTTTCTGTTCATTTCATTGCCCCATTTTTTGATGGGGTTGGATATTTTCTTCTTGTGGAGTTCCACCAGTATTTTGTATATCCTTGTTATCAACCCCTTGTCAGATGTGTATTCGGTGAATATCCTTTCCCATTCTGTAGACTGTCTTTGTATTTTGGTCACTGTTTCTTTGGAGGTGCAGAAGCTTCTTAGTTTAAGATAGTCCCATTTATCTATCTCTGTTTTTACTTGCTCGGCCAGTGGTGTGGCATCTTTGAAAGTACCATTAGCCTCAATGTCATGGAGGGTTTTGCCAACTTTGTCTTCAATGTACCTTATGGTGTCTGGTCTGATGTTGAGGTCTTTAATCCATTTTGATCTTATTTTTGTTCATGGTGTTAGGCAGAGTTCTGAGCCCATTTTTTTGCATGTAGCCATCCAGTGATGCCAGCACAATTTGTTAAAAAGGCTTTCCTTACTCCACTTCACATTTCTTGCACCTTTATCAAAGATTAGATGATCATATGACTGAGGGGAGATGTCAGTGTATTCAACCCTGTTCCATTGGTCTGCAGTTCTGCTTTTGTTCCAGTACCACGCTGTTTTAATTATATTACTGCTTTGTAGTAGAGTTTGAAGTTAGGGAGGTTGATTCCTCCCATTTTCTTTTTCCCAAGAATTGCTTTAGCTATTCGTGGGGGCTTATTGTTCCATATAAATTTCAGGAGTGTTTGCTCCATTTCTTTGAAGAATGTCATGGGTATCCTTATAGGGATTGCATTGAATTTATACAATGCTTTTGGTAAGGTAAGGTAAAGGTAAAGGCCCTCCCGTTGATCGTCGATTTGCTCGAGCGGGCCCAGTAACGTCTCCATTGGAGACTTTGTTGTTACTGTGTCTGGCATATCGAATACTCTCGGTAGCTTGCCGGGCTCTCCGAGAGGGGCAGAGGAATCGAACTCGGGTCGCCCATGTTGGCCGCTTGTAAGGCGAACGCCCTACCGCTGTGCTATTACTCCAGCCCATGCTTTTGGTAGTATTGCCATTTTGACAATGTTAAGTCTCCCGACCCATGAGCAGGGGATATCTTTCCATTTCCTCATGTCCTCTTTTATTTCCTGAAGTAGCGTTTTGTAGTTTTCTTGTACAGGTCCTTTACTTCCTTAGTTAAGCTGATTCCTAGGTACTTGATTTTCTGGGGCACAGTTGTGAACGGGATTTTTTTTTTCATGTTGCTTTCTTCTCTCTCACTGTTTGCGTATAGGAAAGCCATGGACTTTTGGGTATTGATTTTATAGCCTGCAACTTTACTATACGAGTCTATTGTTTCTAGGAGAT